AAAAAAAAAAAAAAAAAAAAAAAAAAAAAAAAAAAAAAAAAAAAAAAAAAAAAAAAAAAAAAAAAAAAAAGATGAAACCTGGTCCAACAGGACGACGTTACTTCTTTGCTCACCTGGTCCAATGACATGAAACCTGGTCCACTGACATGAATCCTGGGCCATGCCATGGAACGTGGTCAAGAAACACCCAAACCGGAGGAGGGTTCAGGACGTTGGTACTGTTTTGATACCTGGTCCAATCACATGAAACCTGGTTCAAGCATCATCCACTGTTGGGTCTGCAAAACGGAAATGTTCGTATCACTCCCTCTAGCAAGGTCCCGCCTGAGTTAAAAAAAAAAACAAAAAAACTGGAGTCCTTCGGGACATCAGTTAAAATTGGAACGATACAAAGAAGGGTAATTAGCATGGCCCTGCGCAAGGATGACACGCATAAATCGAGAAATGGTCCAATTTTTTTGAGAATAAAATTTATAATAATAATAAAATAAAATAAAATAAAACTGGTTCAAGCCCGCGGAAGCAGAGGGGTCCAATGACGTGAAAGCTGTCCAAATACAGAGAAGGAGGCGGCTCAAGGCATTGTTACTTTCCTTCACTCACCTGGTCCAATGGCATGAAACCTGGTCCAATGATTTAAAACCTGGTCCGATGACTTGAAACCTGGTCCAATGATATAAAACCTGGTCCAATGACATGAGTCCTGGTCCAATGACACGAAACCTGGTCCAATGACATGAAACCTGGTCCAATGATTTAAAACCTGGTCCAATGGTATAAAACCTGGTCCAATGATATAAAACCTGGTCCAATGACATGAGTCCTGGTGCAATGACATGGAACCTGGTCCAATGATATAAAACCTGGTTCAAACGCGCAAGGGAGCGGAGGGTTCAGAACGTCTCCTGGATTTCCACCTGCTCCTCCTCGTTCTCTCTTCCTGTTTGCTGTTCCTTCTACTCGTTGTCCTCCTCCTCACCCCCATTCTCCTTACCCCCTCAAGAACGACTACGTACGTGCTGAGGAGGAACTGCTCCAGTATTCCCCCGAACATA